AAATCATGTTTTGTTTTTTTGGTGTTACATTTCCATTTCTGGTATACTAAAGGATATACAAGACCAATAAAAAGTTGCGGGACTAGGTGTCCTGCACTATACAACTGAAAATGGCATTTGAAATCCAACAATAAAATTAATGATAGCATCTGTACATCCCTCTATTCTTGTATTATCATTTTTATTATATGGTTTTTGTAATAATTGATTTATTATAGAAGGAATATCACTATGTTCTTTAATGATCCACAAGTGGTTGTGTTAATGTTTTTTTTTGCATTTTTTTTTTCAAACTATTTCTATAACTTCATTTTGATTATTATATTTTTTATACATAAATTTCCAAATCGCAAATGTTGTTTTACTTTTATTACTTAAGACATATTTTCCATGGTAGGAGGTGAGCAAATACTATTATTACTTAAAGATAGACTTTCTATCATATAAGAATATGATGTGTTATAATTTTGTGGCTCTTGTACTCTTGGTTCAACAAGGCTCTTCCAGCCCGTTACTGCTGTTGGTTATTGTTCATCCTTCATTGATAGTTTTTTTCCTACTTGTTGTTGTTTGTTTTCTGCCTCAGGTTGTCAATAGCATTGGTCGATGTATGACCTTCCTTGCCACAGCTATAACATTTCACGGCTCCTTTGTATTGTCTCTCTTGTATCCATTCAGGACAATTTTTATACTAGTGTCCTGGTTTGTCACAATTGAAACAATCTCCTTGTGGTTCTGTTGTTTTCTTATTTGGCCATTGGTTCATAGTCCTTTTATTGCAATTCACAGTTTCATGTCCTAATTGGTTACAAAGATTGCATTTTCGTCCTTCCCTAATTTCCATTGCTAGTCTATTCACACTTTGTCCTAATTGTACTACTTGGTTTGCTACTAACGCATTGATGTGTTTTAAATTATCATTGTTAAAAGGGTTATCTTTCTTTAAGGTACTTTCTATCTTTTTCGCTTGTTCCCAAGCCTCTGAAATCTTTTGGTGCTGCTAATTCAGTAAACATTTTAATTTGTGATGGTAATCCATTAAGATGTTTGCAATTTATTGCTTGCTGGATATTGTCCCATAGAGTCTGCTTTCATATATAACTCTGTTAATGCTCCTGCATAAGCATCAACATTTTCATCCTCCGATTTCTTAATTCATTCATCCATTTTTGCTGACGTTGTGCTAAGCTAAAATATTCAAAGAAATTATTCATAAGGCTTACGTTATTGTCATATGATCCTGGTGGTCCATCTCATGTTGCAATATTCAAGTCGGGTGTTTTCTTTCAGGCTTCAGCTTGTCCTTCCAAGCATGTTGGTACAATTTGTAATATTCTTTCCATTGCTATGTTATTTGCTTCACATGCCTCATTGAAGTTTCTCCACCATTGGTGTGTATCATCTATTTCTCTGTTAAATATAGGTAGCTCTACCAACCTTTGTTCCTCTCCTTTACTTGGTCAGTTAATTTGTGCCAATAGATTTTTAATGCATAAGTATCTACTAATCCTCCTGTTGGTGGTACTGGTCCTCCATCTCCTCCTCTTCCTCCTCCTGCATCATGTAGTGGGGTGGTGGTGGTTGGTTAAATTTGAAAGTAGTCGTCATACCACCTTTTAATGGGTCTGTTATGTCTCATTGTCCCAACTGAAAAGTTAATTCCAAAACATTCCACAAGGTGCTTACAACCAATTCTGTGAATATCTTGTTTTTAAGGTCAATGAATTGGGCAAAAAGGTGATAACTTACACAAGCAACAAAGTGTTTAGGTGTAATGAGTGTGGAGTAAGGCGCCCGAGGGATGTAACTGTTGGATGCAGTGAACTTACTGTATATACGCATTAATTGATTGTTTTTGTATAAATTATATTTGACATAGTTGACTATTCCTGTATATATCAACGATCGATTCAATTCATCCATTGATTTCCATATTTTCAAGAATATTCCAACAATGAATCCTCCATAGTTATATAAAAGATACCCAATGTGGTTACATGTAAATCTATGCTACATATTATTTACCAATTTACATAGAAGTTTTACTGATTGCAATTTATTTGAGAATACCAATCGTTTAAGTACCTGTCAATTGGAAAGAAATCCATGGTTCAAAAGTTCTGTTAATAAAGATCTTTATTAATGATACCATTTTGAAAACACGAAAAAATAAATTCGTTAGCAATTTTTACTTTTACATTTTGGATCAATAAATTAGTAAGGTTTTCCTTATACAAATTATTGTTCAGCATACTTTGAGTCAAGTTCATTTGAAGAAGTTACTTTAGCTAGTCTAGCACTAAGTTGTTTACTATTTTGTAATTCAAAATTAAGCTCAAGCCCAAGCATTTTTACTAACTTAATAAAATGATAATGACTTTAGCAATGAAACCGATATGTGGTTCTTTCACGTAAATACACCAATTAATCATCCTCTTGGGTTGCCTTTATATGTTAATTTTCATTTTGTTTGGGTCTGTTTTCTTTCAAAACAACATTATTGACTTTTCTACAATCTTTCTATTTTTTACGCGACCTGACTTCTAATATAACTAGAGTATCTTCTTGTGCTCCTCTTTTAGAATGAGGTCTCTGTGAGCGGTTTATACATTTAATAAAATAGATATTAAAATTAATATTATAAAATTTGTAATAAAAATATAGTATTTTTGTCACGTATTTTTTATTCACATGGTCTTATATAATAAACATGTGATTCGTCACATTACAATTTTATTTAACTATTAATAATATAAAATAATCTATTTTATTCTTATTTTTTTAGCCTTTTTATTTAATTTATTTATTTCAATAAGATCTCGATCATCTCTATCTTTATCATCATCATCATCATTTCCTTCACTTCTAATACGTCTACTTCCTTTCCTTTGTTTTTGTTGTTGTTCTTTCAACCCCAATGTAGCGATTCTTTGTGCTTCGGACACGCGTTCTTCAAGCAATAGAATATCATCTTTATTCCCAATTGGGAAAAGTTCCATTTTCTTCCCAATAACATTTTCAATACGTTGAAATAATTCAACGTCGTATTGTGTTACAAATGTAATTGATTTACCCGATCTTCCTGCACGAGCCGTACGTCCTACTCGATGAATGTAATCTTTACTATTCGCTGGAATATCAAAATTTATTACTACATCTACGAGTGGAATATCCAGCCCTCTAAATATGTATTATATATGCATATTTATATTTATGAAAATTTTTTTTAATAACATCTTTAAAACCCTCCAAAAAACAAAATATTATAATGATCTTTTTACCTGCTCGCAACATCGGTAGCTACCAGAATATTTCTATTTCCAGCTTTAAATTTATTTAATGAACCTAGTCGATTGGCTTGTGATAATTGTCCGTGTAGCGGTATTGCAGGGAATCCAAGATTTCTTAATAATAAAGCAAGGCGTTGAGTATCATTGCAAGTTCTATTAAATATAATAATTGAATTTCCTGCAAGTTCATTACACAAATAGACGAGATAACAATCTTTAAATTTAAAAGGGAAAAAAAGATAATATTGAAGAAGTGTTGACACTGTAGAATATCTTTATAAACAATAAGAATAAGAAAAGAAATTATTGTTTATTAATAATATGTAAACCTATGTGTGTGTGTGTGTGTGTGTAAATTATTTAATGATTTACTTGGAAGAAACTTCAATCTTGACAGGATTATTCAAAGAAGCACGTTGTAATTTGGCCACCTTTGTTGTCATTGTAGCAGAGAATAGGTAGGTGTTACGTTCCTTAGGTATCACTTTTAAAAGTTTATCAATAATTGGTCCAAAATCCATATCTAATAATTTATCTGCCTCATCCATTACCTAAAAAACAAAAAAAATATATTATAAAAAAGGTTATATGTATAATATAATAATATAATACAAGTAAATCCAATATTTACCAAGTACTTTAAATTCCTTAAACTAAAACCTTTAGTATTTTCTAAATGATCTTGTAATCTTCCTGGGGTAGCTATTATAATATGAGGTTTTTTAGATAGAGCAATAGCCTGTGTCATCATATCCATACCACCTATTATAACAACACAACGAACACCAATTACAGATCCTAAAGATTCAAATGTTTCTGATATTTGATACGCCAATTCTCTTTTTTTTTTCACCAAAAAAAATCAGCCAATCAATCAATCAATAAAATTGGTTTGAAAGTAATATAATGTTACCTTGTAGGTGCTAATACACAAGCAAAAAGCCCTTGTGGTGCCTCCCATAATGCTTGTAAAATAGGTAAAGCAAAGGCAGCCGTTTTCCCAGACCCGGTTTGTGCCAATCCTATTATATCTCTACCTAATTGGTGAGTACATTAGTTAAATGCATCATTATTATTGTCATTGTTATTAACGAGTGTCTTAAAATTTTGTCCAAAAGAAAGAGATTAATGCCTTTAAAGCAAAAAAGACGACTTTTTTCCATAAAAATATTTTTTCATAATCCAAACCTTGTAAGGCCCAAGGAATTGCTTCTGTTTGAATTGCCGTTGGAGTTTTATAATTTAATTGTTCACATGCTTTACATAATTCTTCTAATACACCCTATAGATAAAGACACTAATAATTAACACAGATTTCTTTCAGTATATACATATTATTTTTTTGGCTAACTAATCAATTTACCAACGAAGCAAAAGTTGCTTCTTTGACGTTTTCTTCAGCCATTATTATTATTATTGTTTTAAAAAATTTTTATTTTTTTGATCAACATAAATCTTCTCGAAAATAATTTTGTTCGACACTCGAATTCAATTGCTGACAAACTATTACCAAAAGTGATCGATCTTGACAACAACAACCATTTAAAAATCTCTTTATAATAACCCTTTACAATATAATTACAAAACTTTATTTATTTGTTTATAATATATAAAAATACAACGATAAGAAAAAAATTGTTATATATTCAAAATGTAAAAAAAAATAATAAAAATAATAATTTAATTAATATTACATATATATAATATAATTGTCCATGATGATTTGGTTATGCGACAACTTTGGCAACTTCTCTGGCAAATTTAATTGTTTCACGTATTGTTTTACCAAGATTATCTTCATCGAAATGTTTGCTTGGTTTTTTATCAATATTTTCAACGGATCTCCATGTAATATTTTTAAGATTGATTGATTCTTCTGTGAATATCTTATGATCAGTGTCTTGTATTGTTGATAGAAAAGTTATTTGATACTTGTTATTTCTACAAAAATGATAACAATAATGTGAGTATATAATAAAATATAATATTTATGTGTATATAAATGTATATTTTATTACTTACACATAACGTTTCTTGTGTAATGTTTGTCGAATACCAGTGCAATTTATTTCTTTGCCGGCAAAATCAGATTGTCTAAACCACATTCCATCTTTTTTTACTAATGGTTTAGATTGAAGGTCATTTATTATTTTTGAAACATTCTCGTGAATAAGAAGCTCATATTGAGTTTTTAATAAAAATCTTAAATCAGGTATAGAAGATCCTGAAATAATATCCAGAATTGCTAAAAATAATATAATAAATTAATTTTTATTTTTCACCAATAGAACAAAATAAAAAAATAAAAACATGATTCAATTTACCAAAACGATTGATATCTTTAGCAGCACTTGTTATTTTCCATAAATCTAAAGGAATAAAAAAGGATAATTATTAATACAGTTTATATTTTACAAAATTAATTATAATAATAATAAAATTGAATTACCCGCGTCTTCATCCCAATGTAATTTCAATTTTCTCTTTTTATCATTAATTACGTAATAAATTGTAATACTATGTTTATCATCGTCTTGATTATTTTTATCTCTTGAAGATCTTTTAAAACCAAAACTATCTTGTAATAATTTTAAATTTTTTTGAACGTTTGGTGAATGATGTTGGAATGATGTTCCGATGCCATTTCTTCCTCTCTCATAATTACTCCAATCATTCATATCAAAAATTTTTTTACCAACATTTACAAATAATTCTTTGCCAAAAAAAATGGTTAATCTGATCTCTTTGCCTACAGGATTTATTGGATCAATTTTTGTAAGTTTTTCGGAAATTTCGTTTAAACAATCATCGAGCTTATCAGAAGTCATAAATCCACATTTATTGTCACGTGGTTTTACAACTTTTAGTTTTTTGTCAAATAGATCAATCAAATCATCAACATCATCAACATTTGATTTTTCTTCTTTTTTGTCAACAGGTTCTATTTTGTTCACGTAATACTTTGTTTTGTCAAGAGAATGGACATTACAGTCATGTCCTTTAAATTCGACGAACTCAAATTTCGCATCAGATAGATTGGTTATATCGCCTATTTCTAAAATGGTGAAACCCAAGTGTGGTGGTAATAAAGATTTTTCCATTGTTTGGCGAATCAACTCTCTTGCGTTATTGCATTGTTCTTGAGTTCCTTTTATAATAATTCGAGCTTTAGTTCCAATGGTCTCAACTCTAATTTTGGCTTTAGAATCATTACTATTTAACACACAAATAAATATAAATATATATAACATGATAAATAAATAATTTTAACTGGATAAAATGGTATATTTTTGTTTTACCTTAACCGTTTGATATTAGAACCTTTGGTTCCTATAAGAAATCCAACCTTATCTTTTGGAATTGGATACTCGATTTTTGTTTCTTCTTGATTAATAAACATGATTTTAAATTATTTTATTTATTTATTTTTATTTTTATTTTTTTTTAATTAATTAAAAAATATTTAATCCTTATATAACATATTGTTGCTATTGTTTCCAAAATTGATTATTTTCGTGTTTTTCTTTTAAACAAAAATTTTTACCTTTTTTATAAAGAATAACGAATGATCAACAAAAATATGAATCGTTTTTCTACAAAAAGCAATCTGTAAAAAAAACTGTCGTGTAATAAAAATTTTTTTTGATTGAACCCGAAAGTAGTATCCAAATTTGAGTCCAAAGCTATTTCGAAGGTGGTAAAAGACTCGATTAAAAGTAATTGAAAGGTCGCTGTAACGATAAAATTAGTCGAGACGAGACTTTTTTAATTATACCAAAATTCGCTGAAAACGGGAGTTTGGCTGTAGATATATGGTAAGGTAAAAAATTTTATAGATTATAATCTAAATATCTAGTAAACGGTTCTATTAATAAATTTCCCGCAGAATTTGATTGTGATGCCACTTTGCACTTTTCTTTTTTTTCTAATTGTTTCAATTTTTGGAATTTCCTCTTTATCTAAGTTATCTACTACATTCTGCTGTGAAATCAAAAGATTGCATGCATTGGATCTGCATAATAACATACTTTCGAGAATTTCTACAACTTGTGACTTTGTGTCCAAATTTTGATTAGCTCCAAGCGCCAACCTTTAGTATTAGAGAGAGGAAGACTAATATTGAGCTCAGTTAAATGCATCTTTTTTTTTTTATCTGAAAAATTATAAAAATATGAATAAACGAAAAACTGCAAGAGTGATTACAATGCGTAGATAAGTCATTTAGAAACCTGGAATTCGATGATTATAAAATTTTTATTTTCATGACCAAATAGTAATTTCGTCATTTTGGAAATACTAATTAAAGATAGCTCCTCAATTAATTGCGGCATATGAAAATTGAATTGCAGCTAATTATACTAATAAACTACAAATCCGAAATATTTTGGAAATCAAAAAGCAGTTATAGAATGGACCATTATCATGGCCAACCCTGGTATGTCTATAGTTGGTTCCGAAAATAAAATGGAAAACCGTAAATAAAAATAAAATAAAAGTTTCCGTAATTAAATTCCGTGATAGTAATAGTAATAGTAATAGTAATAGTAATGACTTCGTCTACCATTAATTCTGTAAACATAATTGACTATCCGTAATTCAAATATTAATATTAATATTAATATTAACTGTTAATATATATATAAGATTAGCTGTAGTTATTGAAGGTTGATCAAATTTTGATTTTATTATATTATGTTAAAATAAATCAAGTTCAAATATTGTTAAATCTCTATGGTGAAAAAATATCAAAATGATAAAAATTATACATTTATATATATTTTAGCATCATTTATCAATCAATCAATCAATATTATTATTATTTTATCATATGCAAATATAAATAAATTTACTTGTATAGTCTAACTACCAAATTCCAAATGTCCTTTGATAGCACCACCAACATTTGTTAAATCAATTAAAAATGTGTCATGTCCATACATGGAATCCAATTCATAATATGTCACATTATCATTTCCACCTATTCTCAAACATTCAGCAATTTCTTTTTGTTGCCAATATGGGAATAAAATATCAGATTGAACACCAAGTATCAATGATGGTACTTTAATTTTTGATAATCCTTGAACTAAATCTTCAATTTCAAAATTGCCTTTTGATGTAGCTAGTGATGAAATATGCTTCCGTTTAGATTCTGAAGATGAAGGAGATGTAGGGTATTGTTTTAATGCTGATTGTTGTGATGTATTACTATTGCCATCACCATCACTACTAACAGTACATACTGAATTATTGTTATGATTGATAGGAGAAGAAATATCACCACGGTTTGATATTTCTTTAATTGTTTTTTCTCGTTGTTTAGACAGAATATCTAATGTAGAAGCTGACATATCAAAAAGATCCATTGCTTTTGAAATGTATAATAATGAATTTGGATCATATTGTAAACAAAATCTTTCACCCTACAAATAAATAAATAAAAAAACAACACATAAATATATATAACTTTAAAATAATATATTTGTTAATTGTATTTTACCTGATGATCAAGATATGTTTCAATTAAAAAGTCAGGACATAGTGCAGGTGTTTGATCTTCTTTTGACCTTTTCCTACCAAATCTTTGTTCCCATTCTGGACCTGATCGATAGCTTTTGTTGTTGTTGTTGTTATTATTATTATTATTATTATTATTATTATTATTATTATTATTATTATTATTTTCCAAGAATTATTCAACTATTTAATTATTAGAAATAATTAAAAATTATTATTTTAATTGATAAAGTCTCAATTACCTTATTGTAGCAATTTCACGTGCTAACTTCATTCCAACATGAGGTGGTATTGAGTTATAATAAAACCCCTTATTCCAATTAGGATCAGACATTAATACTACATGTTGTTATAGATGTGTATTTTAATTCACCATTAAAAAAAAATCAACATTCACATTTCACATTTCTTTACCTTGTCTTTGTGTATGTCTAAGTGCTATAGAATATGGGTGTGACCTTGCACATGCTGATATACTTATTAATCGTGACACACGTTCCGGATATAACCACACTGATGCCATCGACTATAAATACATAAATATATGAATACACATATATAACTACAATCACAACCATATATAACTATAACTTACTTGCATTCCACCCATACTACTACCAACACTAGCATACAATTTATCAATTCCTAAATAATCCAATAATAAAAATTGCGCACGGACCATATCAAATATTGTTAAAATAGGAAATCTGGTTGCATATCGATTTCCATCCGATGGGTCAATTGATGATGGTCCAGTTGAACCATAACATCCACCAATAACATTTGTACAAATAACAAAAAATTTATTGGTATCGATTGAAAGTCCAGGTCCTAAATTGCAGAGTTTTTTATATTATGAATTTAATTTTGCGGGAAAAAAAATTCAGATTTAAATAAAAGCATAAATCCCTACCAATGAAGTTCTCCCACCATCCAGGATGAGTATTTTTTTCATGGCTCTTAGCATGACTACTTCCTGATAACCCAGTTTGAATAATAATAGCGTTACTCTTCTTCTCATTCAGTTCACCCCAAGTTTCATATGCAATATCAAGTTCAGGTAAAATCCCTCCATAATCACAAATAAATGATTTATCATAATGAAACGTTTTGTATCCCGTAATGATTTTTTCATAATTGGGTTCAGGGCCCCCATCCAATGACAAAGTGCGAAATTGATTTTTATCTATACATGGAAAACTTAATGGAGGATTTGTACCTTTCTTATTTAAATTGTTGTCCATATTATTTTTTTGGGGATAAATTTTTGGTTCAAGTGAAGGTGGTGTGTCCAAAGTTGATTGTGAAGGTATTTGATTTGTTACAACTGTAGCATTATTTGTTTTTGTCAAATTATGAAAACCTATTAACAAAAACAACAACAATAATAAGTTTTTTTTTCTTTTGTTCTCTTAAGAACTCAAAAATTTTACCTGATCTTTGTGTGAATGCTGTATTTCGATGTGATAAATTATTAAGTATTAAATTATTTATCTGTTTATAATTATTAGTTTTTAAAAAGTTGCTAAGTACTTTTTTATGTAAAATCCCACGAAATAAAGTAGCCATGTTGTAAATGCTGATGTAGAGATCAAATTTTACAATTATAATATTTGCAGATCATCTACATTTATATATCCAAAATTGTCGAAGATCTTTCCAATAAAGGTAATATAAGTTCTATATTTTCTTATCGATCATTGACAATGAGCTCGATCATTAACCTTTTGTGAAAATTATCCCGAAATTTTTTATGAAAATGCATTTACCAAATATGTTGTAAACTGCACTCATTGAAAAAATTGGATTAGTAATTCATATTCACATTATGTAATTTCAATAACCAAGTATTTATATTACACTTGAGGCATGCTTGCAACAAAAACCAGACAAAGTGAACATTTGCACTACCAAGGATTTCAGGGATCAAAATTTAGTTATCGTCAATATGCTTTTATAATGTCACATTTGTTATCTTTGTTTTTTCTTAAATGATATATAGAATTGCCCCTATATAAAAATGATAATATGGGGCAGACTGCAACAAAACCAGACAAAGTGAACATTGGTGTTACCAAAGATTTCAGGGATCAAAATTTAGTAATGTGATTATTAAAATCTTCCTCTTAATATTAGGTGATATATAGAATTACCTCTATATAAAAATAGTTAATATGAAGTTAATTTACATCAGATCTACAATGGAACCCAAGAATTACAGCACCATTAGAAGTATCTTGAAAAAAGAACAAGGTGAAAAAATTGCTTCTTACATTTTCAAAATAAATGATACTCAAACATTGGAAGCTTATCTAAGAAAAGAAAGGATTACCTATGAAATTTACCAAGAAGGAAGAAAAATAATAAACATTAAGAAAAGAAAGCATCATGATGATGCATTATCACCTAATAAAAAGCAAAAATCTTTAAAAGGAAAATAAATACCATTTTCTTTGATAGTTGGAATTAATTTCAATTTATACAGAGGAAAATTTCCTTAATCTTCTTTAAATTACTTTCTTATTTTCAATCAAGGTCATTTTTTAACTTCAATTTGAGCAACTAATTGACCATTTTGTTGTTGAAATTGTGCTAATTGAACTTAACTTGTTGATTTCTTTTATTAATTCATGATTAGTTAAGCCTTTTAGTTTTTCATTTTCTGCTTCTAATTGTTTAATCCTATCTAGCAATTCTTGTTTTTGCCTCTTGCTTCATTCTTCAGATTTCTCCTGAAACTTAACCACTTCTTCCCCTTCGATTTCTAATGCTTCTTCAGTCTCGTTTAGTTGTTCTTGTAAGGAGTTTATTTGCCTTTCATAAAAAGCAGACTGACTTACTTCTTCATCAGGTAAGAGAGGAAGTTCCTTCTCTTCCAAATCCTCATTGTTTCTAATACAGTAGTGTCACCGGAATGCGAATTGGACCTTAATTCGCTGATCAATGACCCCGAAAATCCGGAGTAATATCTTATATCTTATTTTTATATTATCTCTATATTATTTATTTATTTATTTATTATTTTTAGTTATTTATTATTTATTTTTAGTTATTTTATTTCATCTATTATTTATTTTTAATTTTATTTTATTCTATTTTTATTTTGTAATAATTTCCGAATGATTTAATTTAATTATATGAGTTCGTGTTACATTCCGCAGAAGTAATTAATTAGTAACACGTTCGCATTAGACCTTTATTTAGAAGAAATTAATGAAGATTATCCTGAATCAGGATATATATCTTAGATTAGGAGAATTATCCTGTGTACAAAGAAGGATAATTATCCTAGAAAGAGAGAATTATCCTAACTTGGGAGAATTATCTTGAATTAGGATAAATATCTTAATCTAGGCTAATTATCCTAAACTAGGATACATATAATCAAACATGTATATAAGGAATGAGAATTCGCTGTAATTGAAAAATAACTTTGTAACAAATTAACTTAATAATAAGTTAATAATTAGTTTCGACTAAATACAAAATTAAATAAATCATTTTTATCAAATCACTAAAACAAAATTATTTGCTAATAAATCTAATTTGTTAGCATTAGCCTATTCATTCTGATCCACATAAATTAATAAAAAAATCTGTTATCATCAATTAAAACACGCTCTCCCAAAATTAATTGGTGACAGTAGCAAACATTCTTACCAGTAGTAATATCAAAATCTAACTTGATTTGCAATCTACCACATCTATTACACTTTAACAATTCATCATTTCAATACTTTCCTTCACACCTTTCACAAACCATGTTGTCTGAAATTCATTCCCCAGTTACTTTGCTACGAGCTCTTATTTGATGAACAGATTTATTATTTTTGTTTTCAAACTTGGAGCAGAAATCACAAGTCTTTTTGCTTTCTTTCTCTAATTCTAAAACTGTGTATTCCAGTTTTCTCATTGCAATTTACTCGTTATTTAGACTTAACCTCTACTCAAGCAATCATTTCTTGGTTGTGAGATTTTTCCTTTTTGATTAACTTTTGTAAATGTTGAATCTTAACTTTTGCTTTTGTTTTTAACTGCTTAAATATGCTCTGTTTAACTGAAGTCTTGTTTTCTTCTTCTATAGGTAAGGCAGGTAAAGGTTTATTATCTAAGTAGATCAAATTCTTCAAATTTTTCACTATCAGTTAATTGCTTGCTTGGTTTTTCTATTTTTTTGCTCTTTTGACTTGATTCTTCTTCCAACTTTTCAACTTGGGCTTCTAGATGAGAAATCTTTTCACCAGCACTTTCGAGTTTCTTGTTTTTTTCTTTTATATCTTCTGCTTGAGCTTTACTCCATTTTTCACCAACTGTTAAGATGTTCTTAATTTCCTCTTGTTCCACTTGTACCTCATTGTCTAACTCCTCTACTCTTGTTTCTAAATCCTTAATTCTTTTAATTTTACTTTTGATAATGTCTTTAAGAATTATATCCTTAGCAGGCTTGCCTCAAATATTACTTCCTTCTTCTATTCGAGAAAAAATATGAGCTCTTTGATTTCATAGTTTTCAATCCTTTTTCAATTCAGTAGCTAACTCAGTATCTTCAAAGTAATCTATAATAATTCTCTCAACTACTTTTTCTAGATTTTCTTTACCTTCCCATTTATAGTCATACATAAGACTAAGTTGAAAACAAATATTCATAAACTGATTTCTTAATGGTTTGCTAATCAATTTCCTTAAATCTTGTTCAATATCCTTACTACAATGAGGAAATCTATTTTTCATATCTACCAATATTTGGTGAATTTAGTCGATTGCTTCTTGCTTAAATTCAGCTTCTTCTTGTTCACTTACTTCTCCTAGATTTTTAATTCAGTAATTTCTTGTTCTTTATTGGATAATTGCTTTTTCAATGTTTCAATTTCATTGATTAGTTCTTTATTTGCTTGTTGTTTTTCTTTTAGGATGTTTGTCATGATTTTCTTGATTGCTTGAATGATTTGGTTAATCTCTTATTATATGCACCATAATTATGATTGGAAAAATAAATAGTATTTTAAATGTCTTTTGTTTGAAATCCTATTTAAAGTAATAGTATGAAAAATAAAAACAATAGATTAATATTATAGACGTTATATATGTTATAATGAAATATAAGAAAAAAAATTAATGCATTGATCTGTTATGAATCAATTTCTTCAACCGTATTTTTATTGAATTTTTTTCTTGGACATCTGCTGGGTGCTTTTTATTATACCCAAATCATGGAGCTTTTTGGGGTTTATCCTTCTGGAGAAAACAGCATCTATTAGAATCATCAATTCTTCATGTGTCCATTCTCTTTTTCCTGAAATAATAATTCCATCTTCATTATCCAATATACTCAATTCTTCTGATTCTTATCCTTGTTCTTGTAAATTTTGAATTGAGCTTTCATAGAAAATTAGTTATAGCATGGATAACTTCTTTCTGTTGACTTTAAAAAAAAATTTTTTATTAATATATACATATATGTTTATATATGAAAATAATTAATTTATAATTCATTAATATATATGCTACATACTTTAAATTTAATTGAGAACCTGATAACAATATATTGCGAGTGTGCAAAATACTCTATTGCACAATTCTTACTCTACAGTACTAATGCTAAGTACTGCTGGCACAAGCCTAATAAAATTAAGGAAATATATTCCACTATTCTAACTAAGGTGTCCCCCAGATGGAATAGTTTTAGATTAAGATGAAGGATGCTTTTCAGCAATAGTTTGTTAAAGGTTTATTTATTCTCTAGGATTCAGATTATTTATTATAAAAGTGTTATGTGTCTTTATTAGCAATAATATGGTTGTTACAAGGTTATTATTGTGTTAATATTATTATATCATGAACATGATGATTCTCACTTGGTCTAAAACCAAACCTTTTTATACCTCTTGAGGTATTACAAATAACATGACCTTTACAATATTTTATCCAATAAAATATGCTTATTAATC